ACATGCTGTGCCATGCGTTTATGAAACTTTTATTTGGTTTCAACAATACAGGAGTACTACACAATGCCACTCAGTTTAGGTTTTGGTGTTCTGTCTTTTGGACAAACCAGTTTGTTTTGGGTTTGAAATTTAAGTGATTTCCTAACATGCCGTTTTTTTCCTTTCTCCTCTGTAATTAAGGGGAATACTGTCAGCCAGGTAACTCAGAGTCACATCACTAAAGGTTTATGTCCTAGCAGGTGATGTGACTCAAAATGAAGGTATTGATCTCTATGTGTAGGTTTCCGGTAAACCTCAGTATTAAGACTTCCATTGTCCTCAATGTGCACACCACAGTCCAGAAAAGGAAACATGTTGTTGGCATCCTCTTTAGTGCTGTGTATAGTAGAGTTAATGTACCTTGGCATTTTTGTCTTATCTGTCCATAGGACATGCTTTGTAGCTTTGTGGCTTTTGTAGCTTGACACATTTTTATCTGGCTTTTTTATGATTAATCTCCAATAAGTTCACCTTTAAACTCTATAGAGCAGGGGTCACCAACAGGGTGCCTACGGGCACCAAGGGGCCCTCAGGGGCCTCATGGGGTGCCCACAGCATCTTCTGAAAACAGCTTAACTCACCAGTGCGCTAAGATTGAGATTTTATTCTATTGCCCTTCTAATTTAATTTAATTATTTATGAAGCCTTTCATTATTTTAGTCATACAGAGCATATAAGCATCATGGCGATTTCAAAATGACAATATAAAATAAAGAAAATTAGGAGTTAAAAGAAACAATAATTATATGTATGAAATTAAGGTGAATATTGATCCCTCGAGTTCATATTGTTAGCCTTTCGTGTGATTCAGTATCCATTAAATAGACCTCGGCCTTAAAAAGGTTGGTGACACTTATTTTACCATATGTATTATCCATCTGTTTGATTTGAAATAACTTTTTCTCCTGTACCAATGTTCAGGCAGGTTGTCTTCAGCCCCATGAATTTATTCATTTCTGAATAATATCAGCATTAGTCATAAGAACATCAACCTACTTAAAGATGGTCTTACAGCCTTAATCTTGAACATGCTTGTCTAAAATTTTCTTTCTAATCTCCTGAGACTACTCTTTTTTCTGCTTCCTCTGGTCAATGCTAAGTGTGTTAAACACCAGGTCACCAGGTACAATAGCACAGTGACTATCTGGCCCTATATGTAGGCCCAATGACTGGTTACGACATTGTAGACACCAGCGATGCTAATTAGTGGACACCCCTTAATTTAAAATTTCTCATTAGTCACATTACTTTCAATTTCATGAATTTATTTTTTTAGCATTCTGTTGAAGCATGGGTGAAATACAATTTCTAACTCTAACTTTGTTCGTTTTCATAGAAGTAATTTTTTTTTCTTTTGACAGTTCAAGTTATTTCATTAATCATTGTGGTTTTTCAATAAATGACAGATACCAACAATTTTGTCCAAAGGATAAAGAGCATTCAGTGACAAAGCTACTTTTTATTCACCTTATCTTGAATAGTTCAAGTTATTCCTGGTGAGTTGCATAGCCAGAAATTTTACTCACGTAAGATCAGAAATACTCGTACAAGGGTATTAGCTACTGAAATTTAATTAAAAAGAAGAGTAAAGTCAAACTACTTCTAAAAGTAATTTTTTTCTTTAAAGGTTCCTCAGCTAAATGTGACCAAGAACTACTGGTTACCTATTTACATCACATGTCTGATTATAGTAAATCTGAAAAAAATAATCTGGGAGTCTTAGCCTAGTGGTTAGAGCAGTGCAAGCAGTGCACGCTGAGAACGTTGCAAGTACCTGTTACGAGCCCCAAGGCCTGCACTATGGGTTCCTGAGGAAAACCCTTAACCCTACACTGCTCCCCACGCACCACACAATGGCAGCCCACTGCTCCCCAAGGGGATGGGTTAAAATGCAGACAGTGAATTTCCCCATTGTGGGACAATAAAAGGATTTACAAAACCAAAAATGTTGTACCGTATCTGTTTAAATTAGGACATGTTGAAGTTAATGGGGCTACACAAAATACTTATGATTCTTCACAGCTGTTACTCTGTCTGATCAAAATAGACTAGAAGTCTAACTATGGTCAAATATACCAGAGATCTTTTTTTGGTCAGACCTACCCAGCTATTCTGGTGGTACCCACAGTTTTATGTACAGGGCCTTGTGAAAGTATTTGGCCCCCTTAACTTTTCCAACTTCTGTCAAATTTCAGGGTTCAATCATATTGATATCAAATTTTATTTTTTTTTTATGAAGAAGCAACAAGTGGGACTCAAGGGGGAGTTTATTGAATATTTTAAAGTTCTTTAAGAAATAATAAAAAAAAACTGAAGTATGGGGTTTAAAAAATTATGGAAAGATGGATGGACCCAAATACAGGACCATTCAGCAAGAAAACCTGTTGGAGCCATGAGACTGGGGTGGAGGTTTATCTTTCAACAAGATAATGATCCTAAAAATACAGTAAAACAAAATTTACAATGGAACGGTTCGCAAATAAACATAGTCCAGACCTAAATCTAATCCAGAACCTTCAGAAAGAACTGAAAACTGCTGTTCACAAACTCTCTCCATCCAACGTCATTGAGTTCGAGCTGTTTTGCAAGGAAGAATGGTCAAAAATTTTAGTCTCTTGATATGTGTAACATAGACATATACAAAGCGACTTTAAATTCTAATTGTAGCAAAAAGTGGCGCTAAAAAGCATTAACTGAAGGGGGTAAATCATTTAGCACACCCAATAATTTTTTTTTATTTGTTAAAAAAAGTTTAAAAGTCCTATAAATATAATTTCACTTCAATATGGTCTCACTTGTTGGTAAAATGAAATGCAATGAGTTGTAAAAAGCCTCCTTTCTAGGAATGTGTTGTTTTGTTTTGTTTTTTGTTTTTGTGGTTCTGTTTTCTCTCTGTTTGCTCTAGTTCAACTTGAACATATTTTACTTGTGACACATCCAATATTATGGTTAATAGAGTGAATCTGACAAAGCAGGAAGCTCACATTACTGTTATGCACAACCTTAGACCTCAGTATTGAAAATGTAGCTTATGAGCCAGAAAAGAAAAACAACAAATGCATAAAAGTGACATTTTTAAGGAAATAGGTGATTGATTTTTTTAAATGAACTTACCTAATAAAAATAACCCAAAGCATTAATACATAGAGCTGTAGTTATTTATGTTAATATTTTTGAACATACATAAACACTGGGACAATACTGAGGGGCTGATCTTCAGAGAATTTGTACATCATGTGCAAACTTCCTTGTGTGCGCACAGCAGATCTTTAGACTAATTAATTTATACTAATTTATATTTAACTTGACTTATTTCCATCACTTTGTTTTTTTACTTTTGTTTTTAGCCCTTTAGATTGGATACCTATGCAAAGCACTTTATAAATATATTATTTTTAGTCATAATTAGTATTTTGAAATAATCTTTTATCATTATCAGGTCGAATCATAATCAAGGTCCAAATACCACTGTCAACTGCCTGTAAAATATAAATTCTGTTTTTGATTTGCAGAAGAAAATTGGTTTTGTCTTGATATTCGGTAGCAAGATTTTTGCAGTAATGTTTGTAGGGCATCCACAACGCGGCTACTAATGATGGCATTAAAAAAAAATATGTATGTGATCCACCTGCTAGTTTCTGTCTTCTGGAATGTCAATGTGTCACTTTCGGGTGCCTTATTTATAATCTTCGAAGGTTAAGCCCTTAATGTGATTGAAACAATGCGTATTGCCTATTTTAACTATAACAAACCAAAGGTATATGAGCATGAACTGGATGATTTGGAGAAAAAATCCTTAAGATTAATTGCTTAAAAAGATTACGTCCACTTAAAAGAAACGTTCCTTTCATTACTAAATGACAGCACAATGAGGTTAAGAAACACAAGAAATTAACGAATAAAACGCAATAGAAAATTCTTATAAACACACAATCAAGAACCAGGTGATAAATAAATTAAAAAGCATCAAAAGGAGAAAAGAAACAGAGAATATAATAAGGAAACGACAGAAACCTGAGAGCGATGACCAAAATATAAAAATAACCTGTATGGCAAGCGCTTTCTCTTTCAGTTTTAACGAATGCTCTGTTGGTTAATTTTGTTGGTCCAGATGGCAACAACAAAAAACTATTGCTGCAGGTAAGTTGAAGTTAAAAGTGAGTACAAGTCAATGCCCAACCATTTCATGACAAGCTTTGGGAAGAAAAACCTGGTCAAAGCAAGACAGACCACAAATATTTGAAAATATCTGCGAGGGCAATGCATAAAGCAATTTACTACCATTTGGACAAATCGGTTAATTCACCATCTAAATAGTTTTTTAAATGGCCTTTTTTCCCCCAACTTTTCATTTTTATTACATCATCACGAGTACAAAGCAACAAAATTCACCCTTTGTATTTAACCTTATGGAATGGAAATGTTTATGGAACTTTATGGAATGGAGATTTGTTCATTTACTGTCTGGAAAGCTGTATGAAACTAAACAAATTTACTTTACTGTTATTTTGTTTACACTCTGTGTATACAAAATGAAAATAAAGGTTGTCTAAGTTCCCTTTAGTGTGGGGGTTAAGGGTGTTGCTCAGGGAACCAGAGTGGCAGTCTGTGGGAGTGGGGGTTGAACTCAGAACCCCTGGATTCCAAGTGCAAAGCTGTAACCACTAGGCCAACACTCCCCCTTTAATCAGCAGTTTCAGATCACTCCCTTTTAGTCTTTAGTGATTCTGATTAAAGAATAATTTTTGATATAAGGGGCTCCATCCATCCATCCATCCATCCATCCATCCATCCATCCATACATCCATCCATCCATCCATACATCCATCCATACATCCATCCATCCACCCATCCACCCATCCATCCATCCATCCATCCATCCATCCATCCATCCATACATCCTTCCATCCATAAATCAGTCCAAGCAGATGTTGGTTTTATATTTCTATATTGATGGGTAATAAACATTTCATTGATATAAACTTTACAAATAGAATCTCAAAGTACTACAAAATAGCTGTAAAGACATTTATAAACAAAAGCTGTAGTTATTATATCAGTCATAAAATCTCAAAGTCATAATATAAAATTCAGTGGTCTGTGTAAACCATAAAATAATTGGACATCCCATTGCTCAAAGGAGGGCAAACTTAGGAAAAGGCCCTATTGCCTTTGATTCCCTATTGGATTTAATATAATATCATAACCCCATCTGGATGAAGTGAATGGATACTCTTTTTAAGAAATGGCATGATCATGTATTTGTTAGCATGCAGTTTTACAGTTGGAAGTAAAGAGTATTTCAACCAGAGACCTCCCTATTGTGAAGATTTTTTAAAAACCTGATTGGTTTAAAAAATCTGCCTCTAATTTCCTGTTTGTGCCAGACCAAAGTTTATTTTTTAAAGAATTAACGAATAGACGAAGCTTCTCTACTTATTAATCAAACTTATTTTTTCAGGATTTGCAAGGTAATGTTTTACATTTCTAAAATAAAAGAAATAAATTAAACATTTTCATGATCAAATATAATCACAGAGAAAAGACATGGAGTATTATTTAACTTCTATGGGTTGCTTTTTTTCTAAGATAAGATCACAATAAATTAAAATTAAAAATTCAGACATCTTCCATCATTTTCTTCTATCTGTCCTCTTTACTGTCTGAAGTCTGGTGTAATTAGCTGATATCAGCCTGAAGACTTGATCTGCCCGTACTCCACCTCTTCTTCCAATTTTTGCTTCACTTGCCTCTTCCCTGGCTCCTGGGCTATTGTGATATCAGCGTAAGTTAAATGATCCGGATCTTCCTCCTCTGCACAAAACAAAAAACATGAGTTGTCACTTAAGTTGGTAAAACAGAACGACCTGTTACAATACATCTATATTTCCCCTTTACCAAAAGAGCATAGGAATAAGTGTTTGATTTCTTATTCCTACCTTTGACTTTCTGCTTTTTCCTCAGTACTTGAATAGCCATAAGACTGAATAGGCAAAAAGCAAAGCAAGCCACTGCAGCAATAACTCCAATTTTCAATGACTCTTCCCCTGCTCCAAAGAAAAAGACATAAAAAGCAAGTTAGCATAGAAAGAAAGAGGGTGCTTTAACAGTAGCATGAGAGGTGATTTTATGATGGACTTCCTCTGTTGTTTTGTGGTATCTGATTGTTTTCCTTTTTTTTCTGAGGCCAACCACAGATGATTTTAAATGTGCCAAGGTATATAAAAATATTTTATATTATTTACTGCTCTAGAAAGCAGATGTGGCATTGCTGACCTGGCCTAACAGGAACAGGAGCAAACAGGATGACGCAGCAATAAGTTGCTATGCTACTGAAATGTGTAGAAACTTGTGGTTACTCTTAACAAAATGTTACTGTTAATGTAACTTTTTATTAAAGCTGCTTATTTCTCATAGAAGTAATATTTTTTCCTTTTTTTGTGGGTGACAGTAGTGTCAGATGGGGGATGCCGGAACACTTTATGTACTTTATGTATTTTTATATCCTTTAATGTATTAAACATTTTCTATAAAGGGCTTTGGATCACTTTATTTATAAATGGCTGAAATTAGGTTACTTGACTAACAAAAAATGGAATAATATATAATGAATAAATTCATTTCTAATTGGATCCATAAAAATAAGTCTTGCAGTTTTTAAAAAACACTGACAGAGGATATCGTTCTTAAATGTATAGAGGACGATCTTTTATTTCCGGGTGGATCATCTATATAAGTGGTCCTCCTAACTGTCAATCATTCTGGTGATATGCTTACGTGAGGCCGTCCCACGTGCTTGTCCCGTTAGGTATCTTTTTCTGTACATAAACAATTTCTGGCATATACTGTAGCTGTGGTGAGCTACAGTTTCAGAAGTGATTGAAGCTTTTCTTTCTCATTGGGGTTCTTTGAAAATGGCCGAGGGTCGTAAGAGTAAAACATTCTACAAAATGTATGAGAAGAAAAAAAAGGTCTCAGAAGAGGCAGATATATCCCAGAATGCTTTGCACGGAGAGCTCTCCTCGCAAAGCATTATTGGATTTGCTCTAACAGCGGTCCGTTGTTGCCATAGGCTTTCGCTACCCAACAGTGGCGACCAATAACAAAGATGTTGCAGGCACCACGCGGTGGAGAAAGAGTTACATGATGTGAACGGGTAGCAAAAAGCAGTGATCATAAGTTAACTTATTTTGCTTTAAAGTCCACTATATAGTCCCTGCTATATATAGTTATTTAGGAGTTTCGGACACAGTCAGCTTGTATGAGCTATGAGTGCAGCAACTTTTAAACTGAGCATGCACGAGGAGAAATGGGCTCTCACACGCATTTAATAGGTGTTCTGACTCGGGAACAGGGTTGTTTATGTGCATTTTTTTTTTTAAACAATTTGCAAAAATCCTCCACAATACCTTTTAATCAATTAGGTGTGTTATCTATATAATGTGAAATAGGCTATTCATTTTTTTATTTTAGGTCCTTACAAAGGAATTACCTTGAACAGATAAATGAAGATAACGAGTTTCTTTCTTGATTCCATCAGAGCCAAAGATTTGTAGTTCATATTCACCGCCGTCTTTGGGCCTCACTTTGTTGATCCTAAATGTTCCATTACTGTAAATAAAATCAGATCTGTCTTTTAATTGATTAGTCACTGTTGCATTTATCCTCCATCTTAATAATATTGATTGTCCCTTTTGTAGGTCAAATTTGGGTATTTCTGAAGCATTGTTAGCCAGCCGTAGAAAAAGAGTTTCTCCCACAGTGACATTACATCGTGTTTTGTTAATTCTGCCATCGCAGTCAGCTGCCAAACCTTTAAAAAAACACAAAGAAAAGAAAAATATTCTTTCACTTAATAAGCTCATTTACATTTATTACATCAGATTTTTTTTAAGACTTTATACACAAACCATATTACACCTATAGCTGAATGTGGTGTGTCGTGTATGGTTTAACTAACCAAAGAAAATTATAAAACATGTTCCTCATATGCTGTACGTATTATAAAAATCACAGTATAAGATTTTCTATATTCTTTTTTTAAGTTTTCTTCCAATTCTATTTTATTTTTAAAAAGCCAATTTCTTGACATTAGATCATATTTTATACTGAAGTTGGCTTGTTTTAATTAAGCTAATAAACGAGATACATTTGAAATGGAGACTGACACAACTTAAAAATATATAAAGACATCTCAGTAAACAGTTATCAAATAATTCTTTAGATCTGCTCAGAAACTCTAAAATGCACATTATCCAAACAGTTTAAAAATTTTTACATTTTTTTTGGTTTTTATTTGGACGATTATGGCTTACAGCTAAAACAAGCAACAAAAAAGCTATAATATAGTTTCTCAGAAAAATAGAATATTACATCAAACCATGCAAATACTGTAACCTCATTATTTGTTACACTATAAAGATTTTAAGCAGAAATTTTTTGAAGCATTATATATATGTATATATATATATAAGGTGTCTAATATATATATATATATATATATATATATATATATATATATATATATATGGCTTGATGGAAAGAATGAAAAACTGAGGAAGTGAAAAATGGTTAGAAATAGAAAAGGAGAAGTTTTTGCTCCTCTGTTTAAAAATTCAAGTCCACGCTGTATTCATGTTGATATAATGTAAGTCATGTAAACTATATTTTATATAAATTTTTTATCTAAAGCAACTGACTTTGGTCTATCGATAGCACTACAATTAAAGCACTGACTAAATATCATGTGAAAGACATTTCCAACTCACCCTGAGAGACTCCCAGTAACAGCAGCAAAAGTTCAACAGCTACTCTCATATTTCTTCCAAACTAGTTGATCAGCAGATCTCAGTAATCTTTGACAAGATAGTCTACTATCCTCTTAAGAGCAGTGAACTGTTGTTGCTGCTCGTTTTCAGACAAGATAAGGATGATGTATTCGAAGAAACGTAAAAAGGAAGTGAACATATTTTGTTAACAGACTACTCTGACATAACAGGAAGCTCACATTTAATTCAGCATAATTACTTCAATCCATAAAATTATCAAAAGATTATTATGTTTATTATTTATACACTTAAGCATTTATGATTTTTTTTTTTTATAAAATCAGGTATAACACCAAACAACTGTGCTTGCTAAAGTAACCAACTATTTACTTTATACCTCACAGATATATATTTCGCAACACATGCCAGATTTCAACAGGATGGTGAACCATTTAAACACGACACCAATACCAAAGCAGACAGCGGTACTTTTAATTACTATGTTAATAACTGCGTATAGTTCATTAAACAGATGTAAAAAAAAATACACTCATATGATATGTTTCAAACCGCAATAAAGACATTAAAAGAACAATGTTTTTGAGTATTTTATTTTATACAGTACGACTTGGAACTATGCGTAACCCAGAGTGTAGAATAAAACCATAACCATTACGTACAATGTGTTAAAGACGATGGATACCAATAAGAGGTAAGCGGATTCCAGAAAAGAAAAAGGAAAGAAAAGCTGCTGGGAGAACGGAAAAACCTTCCCAAAATAAACATGTTATTTCAAAGAACCGAAGAGGGAGAGGTGGACGTTGCTGCTACAATAAGTAAAGATTGCGACCAAGAGATGAATGGAGAGAGCGTTGGTGAGGAGGAGAGATGTGAAGCTCAAGGTATGATCGCCGATGGCTTGTTGTGCTGATATACTAAAGTATATCCATGTCTAGTGAAGGTGAAGAATGATGAAGTGTGTATGTATGGAGCATGTTTCAGGTCGACTGTCTTTTGGGGGGGTTTCGATAAGCATCTCCCTGAAATTAGTTTTTGGAACTTGGGATGTCTGTACTGTAACATGTGGTGGTGCGCTTTAACCACTGGGTTCCATTCAAGGTGCGCAGTCACTATTTTTCTGGGTGTGATGTGTGATCATATACCGTACTACTGAGAATTGCATAATTCTATCTTCTTGGTCGATTTATGGAACTGTCGCTGCATCCTAAACCTTTATCACATGTTGTACTTCATATGGGGCCCACCCAGATAATGTCGCTTACGGGCCTATTGTTGTGTTGCTACGCCATTGGATACACAGAGTGTTAAGAGAGAGATCTAGGGGCCAATCTTTAAGGATTCCCACTACAGAGAAGTAAAATTTCACTTCACTTTTTTCTTTTCTTTTTTGCCTATGAAAGGGTAGACATGTTTCAGGTGATCTGCTAAAGTTGCTCCTGCTACTGATAAGACCTGCAACCCAGTTTGGTTTTAAAGTGAGCAGATTGCGTGGGCTTCTTGGTATTGGCCATTCAAGAGAGATGAGGTTGTAAGCCATGTACTGTTGTTGGAGGTAAATATCACAATAATAATTTTAAAAATAACACCAATAATACTAAATATCAGTTATTGTGCCCTTCACATAGGTAGTATATCAAATGCTATGAACAAAAGTGAAAACATAAAATAAAAAAAGTAAAATATAAAACATGGGAAAGTTGGTTTTGTCTATACTGAATGGTTAATGTATTAAGAATACAATCTGCATATTGAAGAACACAGAAATAAGTTTGTTGTCTACTGAATGACAAACATAAATCACTTAACGCCTTCTCTGAAGATCTGCCCTTTGTTTACAAACAAGTATGTATGTGGTTTTGAGGATCAGGTCCTTAGTGCTTTAAAAAAATTAAGTGGAAAATATTTTTCATTGATTTCATTCTTACTGCCAGATTTCTTTTGTATGCAGTTCCATTAAAGATCAACAAATCTGTTTTTTAGACATTAATTCATAGTGACGTGTATATTCTGGTCTCATATGATTGACTGTTGTCTCCCCCTAGTGGCGCAAAGCACTTCTGTCGTGCAGTGCTACAGTAGTTTGGAGCTTTTCTTAACTTTCTGTCGTTTTTGTAACTTGCAGCATTCTCTTTAAGTGTGTGTGTGTGCGTGTGTGTGTGTGTCAGCGTCATGCATGTGTTTGTAGGGCTTGTCCACTTTGCTGCTCTATACTTTGTGTAATTAAAACTTTTTTGCTGTTAGTGAGACAGAAGGATGCCCAGTCTTTCTGGACTTCTTGTAGTTCATTATGAGCTCCTTGGTCTTACTGGTGTTCTGTCTAAG